CGTACTAAGCTAACAAGTTTGTAGGAAAGACCGGCTTTCCTACTTTCCCCGTGAATAGGTTACCCAGAACACCGAACTCCTGAGCAAAGAGAGGAAATGAAAAAGCATGTTTTTAACGTATAAATGGAGAAGCTTAGCAAGCAAATAGGTTATTAAGCGTAAACATTTATGGTTTAATACGATAGAACTATAAAACTTCACATTGATTTGCAAGTTAGCTGATGACTAAGAATTCAGCTCTTGCTTGCTATGCTAATATTGACGCGTTTTCGTTAACTAACTACGTAAATAAAGATTTATGCTTGTGTTTGCTTGGCGTGTCCATGTAGACATGATCGGGTAGGTGCAATTGTACTGACTTTTTGTGGTGATTGCAACGGTGACAGTAGAAACTTGTTCAGGCTTTCACGCTTGGAATTGTACAATGGTAAAATATAAGAAGAATAATTGGGCTGTCGTGAGATGGCAGCCTTTTGTACACACATAATCAGTCTCCCGTGTATGATCGTAAAACTTCCGCCAAGCATAGCTCAAGGATCCCTGACGATATGGCAGTGTATAATTGAAGAGCAAGGTCTAGAAAAATGTGAAAACATACTGCTTTCATGTATATCTAACGCAAAGATCGACGGTGACATCGTAGAAAGAAAAGCGAAGGTAATATATTGGGAGAATGGCATAAGGTCATTGTTCGTAGACCACCATACAATTACAACTAACTTGCAAACTACTGCCATTATCGCACTGTTTTTACTTTTAAGGATTGGCCTGAGCGGCTTATTTTTGTGCTACGTTATGCAATATTCCAGCCCTAGAGAAGTTTTTCTTTTTTCTAAGATTTACTGGGGTAGAAATTTGGCGTCAGACATCCATAGCAGCGCAAGAAATGTTTGGTTATATGTTTCGTTAATTTGTATTCTTCTAGTGCAGCATGCCGCCCTAGTATGTCTCTTAACAAATCATTTTTATTTTTATCTGCTTTTCTGGAAATTGTTTTATTTCACCTTTCATATCTCTTATAATTCCGCCAATCTTAGTTCTTCCACGTGAGCACCATTAATGGTTGAAGTTAACGTGAAGTTGGTGAATTGGTTCCTGTTACAAAGAAAAGCGGTACAACTACAGATCTGCGCAACCCCCACAACAAAAGAACAAGAAGCTCAAGGTAGCCGGAAGGAACCATAAAAATTTCAACGTGGGCGCCTACGAACCCATCAGCTGTACACCAAACAAGGTCAATGCATTTGTAATTGCCAACTAAATAAATAATAAATAAATGGTATATCCTCTGTAAAACGAGACACACCTGTAGAGGCGTGATCAAATATGCATGCAAGCATAGCATCTTTGGATTATTAAAGCATTTCGTTTTAATGAAAGGAATAAACCACAAGATGTAGTCCATATGAGCGAGCATATTGTCAGGTAATAGTCAGACCAAGGAACATGAGGACGCTGTGGCGCGCAAATACCAGTCATAACTGTTGCGTCAAGGTACAAGTTGGGGGTAAATTTGCCATGTAGTGATCCATGAGCACAGGAGCCCAAACAAGGTTTTGGTGCAATCAATGACCATTACGAAGCCGGAATGATCTGTGCTCCATTAAAGTATTCTTCATAGTAGATCAGTTGCACAGGTTGGATGTAGAAGACTGAGGAATGCTTCAGTGTGAAATGTCTAGCTGTGACTTTACTTTGTGGCGAGTCACATCCGCCACGTTGCAGTGTTGTTAAGCGGACATTGTGGCTTTTTATAGGGAGAAGGCCTGCCAGGCGAAAACCCACCACATCCTGGAACACTGTCGTAGCTTCCGTTGAACTTTAGTGCTAGTCGGCTATGCATCGTATATATCGATATTGCATTCTATTATTCGCAGTCGGTTGACAGCCAAAATTCTTCCTTGGTTGGCCGAATGGCTTAGTAGTGGTGCCACTTAGTGTCTACCATAGAACTGCAAGAAAGGTGGGTAATAGAAAAATAAGTTGCCATAATTTTACGGCATAAAATACGACTATGTCTCGTATTTTCCAAAAAACGGCTGATATCTCTGCACATGAGGTTAGTTGCTAATTTAAGTGAGGTCCAATGAAAGAGGTCGGAATTGGGTTGTTATTTTGAATTGCAACCATGGAGGCTGACTTCAGGAGCACCATTGTTGGACATTCGTTTCATAGCTTTGATGAATTCTATTCGCTGTTTACCTCATTTATGCATCGGAACAACGTCAATTTTGTTTGCTGTAGCAGCAAAAGAAGCTAGTATCATAGCTTGAGGTATGATCGCATCGTTTATAAATGCATCCGCTGTAAGCGCCGCAAAACAAGGTGCAGAGGAATACGGCTAGTCTAGTATGTGGTTTATAAGGTTTTAACGTCCAATTTAGTTCTCGAGACACCGATTGCAGTGCTCGTGTCAATGTTGCTCGGCATGGCCGTAAGCTAAAGGTGCTAACGTTCCAGCTCTCCCACAACCATCCATGCAACCGGTTTCTTTTCGAAAGGCACCCTCTAAACCGGCGACTTACTGAGGAGGAATGCAATCAAGCTGCTGACTTATTTCCATACAACAACCCTGCGTGTGACATAAAGCAATACATGGAGAATGCACTCGGGAAACATGTTACAAGCGACGACGTCCGTAATGTACGCCGCAGGTTGCGTTCGCCTGTGTCATGTAGGTGAAATTTCACTTCCTTATTACTAGTCAATTTGAGGCAGGCTCTGCAGAGCATGGAACAGGATGGTTTCGTGGGCTGCCCGGTAGTCGCAGTCCTAGCAGGGTACTTTAAAGATGGTGACGTTTGTTGATTGGTCAGACGGAAGTGAAACAATTGATCTCTAGACTCTGGCATTTTAATCTAGTGTAACCTAAAAACTGTGTTTTAGTGTGCTAAAAAGCTATTAACCGTTTGCCGCCGATTCGAATGCTTAGCAATACGGTTAGCAAAATGCTGTAAATTTGCTAACTTAATTAGACAAAGAAATTTGCACAACCTTAGGTCTAATATTGCACAGTGAGTGCATTGTGATGCTAAAAGTCAAAATAAGGTCGCCTGTTTTCATGGATGCTGCATTTAACTAATTCGCAGTCTTGGAAGTCCGTTAAAGACATTGGATTTCCTGAAACTTTTACCGTAAAATCTTTTTTTGTGACAAGCTTGTTTTCACGAGCGTCCGTTATTAGTCCGTGGGTTATCATTTATGCGTTTTCTTGGAGTCATGTCTAGATGTTGTTATACGCAAAACAGAACACAGACGAGATGTGCAGCAAAACGGTTTTAGCATTTTATCCAAACATATGTACAGCAAGCCCTCCCACTGAAGCGTGCTTTTGTCCACTGGCGTAGAAGCAAAAGGAGATAAGGATAAATGTATTTATATGTCCATGGATATTGTTAACTAATATTCTAAATAATTATCGCCGCTGTTTATTGCGTTAACTCCTTCTTTTTAACCGTATTTTCGGTCAGCACAAGTGACTTTTAGCGCGCCATGTGTGACGAATAATTGGTCACTATGTTAGTACGTACTTACTAGTCTATACTCGATTAGCGCGTAACGTTGACGGAATATGCATCCCTTCAGCTCGAGCAGCGAAAGCGTGTGCCGTCGTGTGAGTGTTGTAACTCCCTAAATGACCAGACTTTTGGCCCTCAGCAATGCAAATGTACACCTTATGGACGACCTTTTGGTCACGCAGTATATCTTCCAAGGCCGCTTGAACTCCAGCAACGAAAATTTCATTGTAAAAATATCGTAAACACTAAGCGGAAAGCCACATATTAATTAAAATTACGCAATGCAGCAGCCGCAAACCCAAAACCTAACTTGATTTTGAATTACCAATTCTCGACCAAACGACCACGAGACTTCGAGCGGTGTGCTATTACAACCAACTGCGTCCTATAACATCGGCACCAAATGTGCCACTGACGGAGCCTATATACAACGACCACGGGACTTGGAACGGTGTGCTATTAAAACCCAATTGTGTCCTATTACATCGGCACAAAATGTGCCACTGATGGAGCCTATATACACCGACCACGAGACTTCGAGCAGTGTGCTATTACAATCCACTTGTGTCCTATTACATCGGCACCAAATGTGCCACTGATGGAGCCTATATACAACGACCACGGGACTTGGAATGGTGTGCTATTGCAACTCAATTGTGTCCTATTACATCGGCACCAAATGTGCCACTGACGGAGCCTATATACAACGACCACGGGACTTGGAATGGTGTGCTATTGCAACTCAATTGTGTCCTATTACATCGGCACCAAATGTGCTACTGACGGAGCCTATATAAAGCAACCACGAGCCGTATGCTTTTACAACCCAACTGCGTCCTATTCCGTTGACACCAAATGTGCCACTGACGGAGCCTATATACAACGACCACGAGACGTATGCAATTACAACCCAACTGCGTCCTATTACGTTGACAGCAAATGTGCCACTGATGGAGCCTATATGCAATGACCACGAGACTTCGAGCGGTATGCTATCACAACCCAACTGCGCCCTATTACGTTGACACCAAATGTGCCACTGATAGAGCCTATATACAACCGACCTGGGTCCGATTACACTGGCAACAAACGTGCCGCTAGTGCAGTTCATTGTTCGAAACGCTGTAATCCCAAATGAGCGGAGAAACCGATATAAAAACTGTGCATTGTATTTAACAAAAGGCAGCGAGAGAAGGTTCAGCGTTGTTCACTATATTCGTGCCTTGGACGCGCATGTCCCATGCAAGGTATCTTTACACAAAGTCGTATTCATCGGCTAAAATGTAATAGTAGTGCGAACATATAGTCTACTGTCGGGTAATTGAATGAGAGTTTTTATCTGAACAAGTTTTTTCTTTGCGTTTTCTTTACTGGGCTGGCATCCATGACGCTACAATGAAGTGAAAATGGGAGTTTAAATTGCACCGAATAGCTTACTTTGGCACTCTATTCTGCACAATACCTCTGTTTGAGGGGAACTCTACGGCTCCTTTTCGACAAGCTATCGAGGAAAGGTAAGGAAATAGATCACCAGTACCAAGTGCACGTGCAATATGGGGTACGGTTTGTTGACTTGTACTCGGATCGGCGGTAATCTCATCCTGACTGTCTGCGCCGGAAATAGTTATACTAAGCTGTCTCTTACTTTCGTAAGCGGGGCATGTTGATGGGGTAGAGGCAACTGTGAAATCCGGTGAGGGTGAACGGCCAACAGCTAAAATCGAGGTAAAAAGTTGCTTTCTTACCGGTAGTACAGCATTGCATAGCCATCATGGGCACAGATACCGTTTGTGAAGCATTGACACAAATTGTACAACGGGCTCCTGATTGCACACGCATACACTTTCGATGGTAAAGTAACCGATTGTGCGCACAGCGAACTGCGTCAATCACAACAGGCTTGCTGCATGTGAAACACAGATCTGTGGCCGCCATAATTTTTGGCCAACGCGGTTGTTTCTTTGCACGTTGAAAGTCTGACGAATCACCAATTACTTCGTTAGTCATTCGCAATAGCTCTTGATACAGTAACGAAAATCCGGATGGATTAACCTCTTCAGCACTTCTCAGACGATGTACAAGATGTGCTATTTTAGACGTAGATGGTTTCGTAACGGGGACTTTCAACGTCCGCAACGGCATGGACTCTGTGGGTAGGTTGTAGTCCGCCAGCCAGCGGATGCAAATAGGTATTTGGCCTGCAAATGGATGAACATATCAGAAACGGCTTACTTGTCGGATACGCGTGCTGCTTGTATGCCACCATTAAATGCACACACGGAAGCCACATGGTTTCATAAAAAGGACAGGTACATGTTCCCAAGGAGCAATCGATGGTGAAGCGTTTTCCCTGGTGCGATATCTCAAACTGGAGGCGTCAGAAATCTTTATTCACATACCACTCCATCTCCAAGGTCTGAGTAAACTGCTTGTAACATGGGTTGTGCTAAATGGCGCATCACTAAGTTGCATGCGTACGTAGTTAAGAGGCAAACTACGCGGTGAACATATGCGCTGCCTTCTAGTAGCTGACGCCTGTCACAGAAAAACGCGGCATGCATCTGGGACTCTTTCAGGAGAACTTCCGAATGCGCCCAGACTTTGCGAACGGCTGCAACAAGGCCATCCGATGCATGGGTAACTTTCTTCAATCACAAGTTGGCATAGTCAACTCGGTTGTTCGTTGTATTGCCAAAATGCACCAGTCCAGCTTGTGCGTGTTTCGCCCACGAGCGTTTTATGTACAACCAGTACAACGTAAGGTAGTGAACAAAGTGGGGGTCTGTTCTTTGAAGGAGCTTCAAATCTTGTTGAAATCTTAAACAAGAATATTACATATATAAAGAGATTTTACTCCGTCTCCGTGTCAGAAGTTGCCATGCGATGAAACAGATAACGCGACCGGTTAATGTTTGTCTACAGAATGATTAGAAGATTTATCACTTACATGCTTCCTGATGGCTTGGCGGATGTGGAAGTAACACAACAAAATGTCGCATTGAAAAACGGCGCGCGCCGCACGTATTTGAGCGGCCATTTTGTCCATCATTATTGTGCGGACGGGAATATCATGACCCATGATATCCCGAAACGCTTCGAACAACGTAAGCAATGATGCGTAATCTTCCCGACGCAGAAACGCATAAAATATTGGCCGGCCATACCCCATGCCGTCAGTTATTAAAAACTGGTATAGTTTGAAGCTGCAAGCAACAAGTAAGCCAGCTATCAATTCGTACTTCAAACGGTTAGTGCCATGAGTAGCGTCTACACAAACGACATGCGAGAATCGGCGGAAAAGTTCTATTTGTTGATGCCGAGCGAATAATACATGTGTGCACAAGCCTTCCTCAGAAATAATTCGCGCAACTCCGTCTTCTTCCATAGACTTGATAACCTGAGGCAATTTTACTGCAGGAAATAAAAGCTATCAAAATAAACGTACACTCAACGCCAGGTCTCAGTTTACGACGAACATTGCGGACATCATCGCTGGTAATATGCTTTCCGAATCGAACCTCGACGAACTGCTTGATGTCGCTGGTTGGGGTGTTGTAGCGGAAAAGGTCTACGGACTGAGTGAACTCATCGTCCGTCAGACGGCGATTGATGGGGTGTCGCTCAAAAAGAAGGCGATTAACTGGGTGATTGTGAGACAGATCGAACGTTGTGACTTTCAGCTTGCGTCCCGTTCTAATGAGGTTAACGCGAGCTTAGCAGTTAGTATCACGTGAGCTGAAGAATGTAGAATAATAGAAGCGAAATCCTACTAAACACGTCTCACTCCTGTACTTTTTGACTTCCGTCGAGCGCAGCGGACACATCGATAAATCACCTTGTCGTACTTCACCCGTGACAGGTTACATTTTTCGCTGCTGTAGCGTACGAAATTGACGTAATGAAGAAGCATAAAGTCTGAAAACAAACTATTAAACTCGTCAAAACTGTCAAAAGAACGCCCAAAGAAGATTCTCCGGAAATCAGACTCCATGGCGTTCGACTTTCAAAATACTGTTTCTACCGCGTATCTAGTTTCCGACACATTTAAACAATTGCAATAACACATTTGCAGAGATTTAAATAAAACTGCAAAGGCAGAAAGATAGCCGGGAATAATGCCATAAAATCACCATAAACTATTTATTGCGCACTAGGTTTTGCAAAGTAAAGGTGCGTAGCTGACTTCTGACACATTTAAACAAATGCAATATCACATTTGCACAGAATTGAACAAAACTGCAAAGCCACAAAGATAGCCAGAAATCATGCCATAAAATGACAGGAAACTATTTATTGCGCAATAGGTTTTGAGGAGTGACGGTGCTGCGACTACGTCGCAGCGTTTCGTGGAAACCATCTCTGAAAATGGCTCACTTACGCATGTGTGCTTTGCTCGTAATCAGCAAGTGCAAATTTTTAGGTGATTTCCAAACGTTGTGTGCGTGGATGCAACGCATTTTACAAACCGCCTTGGGTACGTATGACATTCGTCGTTAAATTTCGCTACAGTTTAAAGCTGTACCAGTTCTTGGTAACAGACGGTTTGGGCTACGGACGACCAGTTTTTATGGGTTTGTGCGTAAGGAAACGTTCACATCGCTAGTGAAATTATTTGGTTTATATCGTGATGCAGTGGACCATGTCTTCGTGCGAACTTTCGTTATGGATAAAATGGCTGCTCAAACGCGCGCAGCACAAGCAGTATTCTAGTGTGACATTCTGCTGTGCTACTTTCATATCTACGAGGTCGTTCGAAAGCACGTGAGTTAAGCGAATTGTTTTATTCCGACCTGTAGACCAATAGCTTTCGCTCACGTTATTTATTTCACCGGATGGCTACAATTGATACGGAGACCAAGTATGCTACTTTTCCGACGTTTACACTGGTCTAGGTTCCAGCAGGATCTTAGCCTACTTCAGAGGACGGATCCCCAGTTTGTACGGTTTCTAACCTCCCACTGGATGTTCGTCAAGCGGTCGTGGACGAACTACGCTCAAACAGGATTTGTGCACCTAGGGAATACCACGAACAACCTTGTCGAGAATGCTAATCTTAGATTAAAGAAAATAACCCATGCTTCCGACCGCCTTGCTGTGGCTGTGAGTAAAGTGTAGAAGCTGTCTGAGGTTATGCTGAAAGAATTTCAGATGCAGTGTACATACTTCTGTGACAGACGTCAGGTGTTTGATGCTGGTGGTAAGGTTTACGTGCAGATGCTGATAGACCGTCTAACAACCTACGCCGGTACCCTGGTTATGCGTCATTTGGGAACACCGAAGTTAGGTGCGGTGTACTCAGACCTAGGAGCGGGAGTGGTATACCCTCTTGTATGTTTCTACTTTTACAGTTTGTTGTTCAAGATCAACACCATCGATATGACATCGACTGCGCAAATGGCACATGCACTGGCGCATTTTTGGAAAACATACCTATCCGTAGTCGGTGGTTAGCGAATTCCATGCCGGAGGATTCCAGGTTGCTTCGGACTCTGAAGGTAGCTACCTCAAGGCAGCCCAATTCCAACGTAGGAAAACTGCTTGCTCGGCTTAAATGCCTGGAAGACGTGAACCCTCGTGCAGTATCCGGGTTCATCGATAGCCTCATTCAACAAACTGATGAGCTTATAGACGTAGCACCAGGTGCGCCCGTCGTAAGTGATAAGCCACACTGCCAACCATCGCGTAAGCAACCGCGGTGGCACAAAGCCGGTACGTTGACTTTATTTTGCTTCGCTTGCGGTGAACCGGTTGCAGGTACGGGCGTTCATTGCGTGCACAACCGGCTACTGTACCACCGTAAATGCTTGGTGGAGAACAAAACCGACGGTTGCAAAGTTTGCTCAAGTGACATAGCAGCAGTTACATTTCCCAAAAAGCCGTCGCATAGCAGTAACATACGTGAGTTGGAATCAAGTAATTTAGTTTCAGCTTCGCGCCGTACACCATCTCCGAATATAACGATATCATCTACCCCATCTACTTCCCCGGCGTACGAAGGCAAGCGCTTTTAAATAGCTTTTCACCTCCGCTCAGACACTTCGGATGGTTGTGACGCGGTACCCTGTTGCAGCTATGCATATGTGTCACATAGTACGGACAACGCACCCGCTATGCCTATGCGCTTACAAAATGAGACGAACACTTCGGCGGAGCTGCAGCCTATCTGCAAACCTGCGTTTGAGTATGTCATAATATATTGTTACCTGCATCCTCCTCAGTGTAGATCTGGATTCCACTGCAAATGAACCCTTTGCTGGAAAGACAACCGTTTTAAGAAGCACTTTCATGATCTGCTTGCCAGACAGTAAGTTCTGTGCCATTGTCATTAAACCACTGCAGCCGATGATTACGACTTTGCCTAACTGCTTAAAGGCCAGCCTGTGAGAACGCAAACTTGGCCCTTTTTAGGGCCACCTCCTGTTTCGTTTCCGTGTGCTTCCCTCTTGCCAACCCGACGCAACTGCTCGGTTGACGGCATTGATTGGAACATTCGGTAAATGAATCGGACGGTGGCTCTGTAATCCTCGCAGGAATGGCCCAATTGCTGTTTAACTGGGCCTCCAAGCCCATGCATTCCTTGTTCACCATGCTTTCCTTTAGGTACATTACTTTTACCCCACTCCTTAGTGATCCGCTGTGTTGACGTGACGCATATGACGTGTCCGGCACATTTGCGTGAGCACTTTGAATGGGTCTGAACGACAACGTTCCCGGAAATGTTATCTGTGCCCATACGTTTCTTGACAATTCGGTTATCATTTG